AGCAGTAGCAGGGCAAATAGTGTCCATGTCCCGGGCTATAGGCCCAAAAGTTTATCTGTATACACGCCATATGTATTTCGCTATAGAGACTAGGGAACATTGGGGATCCATTTTGTCATTCAATTCTAAACTCACAACAGAATTGCAGTATTGGGTAAGCAATCTCCGCACCCTTAACGGTAGGGACATGTTCAGAGAACCACAGCTTTTTGACACCATCGTGTACTCAGATGCCTCAGACCAAGGGTATGGGGGATATGCGATTTCCAACCATCAGACACTGGTCTGTCAGGGACACTGGTTGGAAAGCGAGAGAGGGACGAGTTCCACTTGGCGGGAACTCAAGGCAGTACATAACATGCTGTTAGCAATAGGAAAGAACTTATGTAATCACCTGGTTCAATGGTACACTGACAATCAAAATATCATATACATTTTAGCTAGGGGCAGTAGAAAACAAGAATTGCAGAGTTTAGTGGAAGCAGTGATAGAGTCAAGTAGTAGATTTGGTATTCAGATCAGCCCAATTTGGGTCCCAAGGGAGGAAAACCAATTAGCAGATTATCTCAGCAAACTGTCTGATGGTAACGATTGGGGCATCCACTCGCATATTTTTAATTGGATCGATTCCATGTGGGGGCCATTCACGGTAGACAGGTTTGCTACCTGTTATAACACCAAGTGTGCTCGATTTAACTCACGTTTCTCGAACCCGAACTGTGAAGGGGTCGATACTTATACGATAAGTTGGGCAGGGGAAAACAACTGGGTAGTTCCCCCACCTAATCAGATTATCAAGGCATGGAAACATTTCCAAATTTACAGAGCACAGGGAGTTTTAATAGTACCTTTATGGAGAGGGTCAACTTTCTGGCCAAGCATATGCCCAAGCATATCCCATAACACCGTTTTCAATGGCGATGTACTGCCCTTTAAATTAATTGCACTCTATATTGATTGGCAAACATGCAAGAAAAGGACATCAAACAGAGGTTTCTGTATGACTCCTTCCGGTATGTGTACAGAATGCATATAGCTCAGCATAGACTTCTGGGGGTGGTTTCTTCCACAGGTGTTGTCATATCAAGCCTTACGTTTTTACAGTCCACAGGTGACTATTTTCCCACAGGTGGTAGTAATCTCAGGGGATTACAGAATAATTTCAGGGGATTCCCACCGGTGGATAGTCCCAGAAAGAAAGTGAATTTGGTGATGGCTTAGTCCCCTGTTCTTGACATCTGGTTTTTGTTAAGCATTGGCAATATCTTTGTGCAGGAATGGGTCGGGCCTGTTCTCGCGAGTCCCACTTTATGCTATTTTAGTATACCTATATATGCTTTCTTTGTTTTCACAGGCTTAAACTTGTTTGACCAGGGGTTTTGGAAAGAATTACAGCAAAAGACGTTATCCAGTGGAGAAACACACCTGTTTGAGTTACTTACGAAAACAGCTCTTCATGCTAAAGCAGAGGGAACTGTCACAAACTATACAAATAGTTTACGTAGATGGATAGAATTCGCTAGAGTTAAAAGTTTCAATGTTTTTCCGGCATCGGTTATAGATGTTTCGCTGTTCATATCGCATTTATCCTCTACTTACAAATCATCCTCAGTTATTCAATCTAGTTATTGTGCCCTTAAATGGGTTCATGATATTGCAGGGATACATAACCCCATGGAAAACAAATTTCTTCAAAATTTGGTGGAGGGTGCCAAAAGAGAGCATGCCAAACCAGTTTCCAAAAAGGCTCCTGTTACCAGTGAGGCCCTAGAGGAGTGTTGTACAAAGTATCAGGGTTGTGACACACTCACTGTACGTAGAGACATCTCTATAGCATTGCTGTTGTTCGCTGGGTTTCTTAGGTACAACGAGATTGCAGACCTCAAAATTCAAGATGTGGTCATCTGCGACACTCATTTGCAACTAACAATAAGAAAAAGCAAAACAGACCAATACAGGAAAGGCAATGAACTGGTCATTCATAGGTCGAACAAAATCACCTGCCCAGTACTTAATCTTGAAAAGTACATGCGAGTTGCTTCCATCAGTTTAGATCACAGTGCAAATTTTTTATTCAGGCCGGTAACCCATACCAAAGCAGGGTACAAGCTAATCGACCGAAACAAACCTCTTAGTCAAACCAGAGCACGGGAATCTATCATCGGTAGACTGCAGGAGTTCATGGGAGACGCCAACATTTCCTTGCATTCATTCAGATCAGGGGGGGGGGGGCTACCAAAGCAGCCAATGCCCAAGTGTCCGACCGCTGTTGGAAACGACATGGCAGATGGAAGTCGGATACAGCCAAGGACGGTTACGTAGAAGATTCACTCGACAATCGCCTACAGGTTTCCAAGGCACTAGGGGTTTGAATTTCCATGCTCTGACCCTTTCTAACTTTATCCAAGTCTAGTCGGGTGCAGCAGCCAGCAACCTTATTAGAAACGTTTAAATTGTTGTGTTATTTCTTTGGGTTGGGGAAACAGGGTAAACATGTTATTTTCTGCGGTTCGCAGATTAGCAGAAAATTGATGTTTCCACGGTTCATCAAACACGTGACTGCCATGTTATTGGCAGGGCGCCAAAGTGGTCACATGATGTGGACAGCTCATTCTAGTCTGGCACTGCATCAACACACACAAATTTTTTTACAAACAGCATTTCACCAGCAAAATTTACCAAAAGTTTAGTTACACAGGTCGTAAACAGATTATTTAGAGGTTAATGTTGTTAGCTAATGCTTCTACGTTGGTCAATCTTACACCCTCAAGATTGTTATTTAGAGCCTGAATCTGCATTCGGGAGGGTCCAGGTTTCCCCACAGGGGTTTTTCCTGGCGGGCAGCAGGCTTAATTAGTAGCATTCGTAACGTTTGGCGATTAGATAGCCGAGAACATTACACAGGGATGTGTTGTATTAAATAGGAGAAAAAAGGAAATAAAGTTAAGGTGGGCGGCGAGCATTCTTCTAGTCGGGTGCAGCAGCCAGCAACCTTATTAGAAACGTTTAAATTGTTGTGTTATTTCTTTGGGTTGGGGAAACAGGGTAAACTGGATAAAAAAGGTGGTTGCAGATATTCAGATGCTGGAATGCTGTTGGGACATTCTATTTGGTTAATTGGGTGAACATTAAATGGTGTCATTATTGGTGTGTGGAGTGAAATGAAATTTCGATTCAATGTGACTGATAGAATTGGAATAGTGTGAATAATGAAGATTCTAGTGACTTATGTTATGATGATGCATGAACTGTGATGATGTTGGTGAAGCTTGATTTATAATGTAGATATACAGTGATGATACTGGTGATATACAAGTTGTAAAATGGTATAAGTGATACAAAAGTTTGAACATTCAAGAGTTTTTAAGTTTAGATATAGGTAATGAGGACCATATTGGTGTCCTAGTAATAAATTTATGCCACAATAGTCCCTAAATGTTAGATAAAAAATGTAGTGTGAAATATGATAGTGTGATGGCCTTGTGTTGTTGGCACAAGGGCATCCTCAAGTGATGACTGTGAATGTTTATTTTCAGTCATGCACAAAATGCTTGGAAATATATTTGATTTAAAGCAGTTCCATTATTGCCAGCCCAAGTTTTTAAACAAATTTACTAAATGGATAAATCCAGACTTGAAATTTTACTACTGGACTGGTGCAAAAGAGCGATTTAGAGAAATTGAGCTACCCTCTTTCAACAAACCATCAGGTGACTGTGCACAGGAAAGACTTGATAAAGTACGCATTTTGAAGAGAGGAGACCCGAGAATATTTGTTGCCAACTGAGCATCCTAACTGGAAAAAGGAAAACTTACTGTAAGAGCAAAGTTCCACAAAGCTCCAGTTGCTTTGCCACCACATCAAGATCAAGAATCAGAGATCTTCCATTTACTAGGAAATGGAATATCTCTGATTTAGACCCAATTTTTCAACAATTCCAGAAAAAGAATAACAGAGTTGGATTTTTTCGAAAAGGAAGCGCAATTGCCGTTACTATAGCAACAATGACGCTCTTTCAATATAGCCGGTATTTTGGGTTTAAAGTTATTTAACTTGAAAATAAAGTCGGTGAAATAAAAAAATTCTTTTAGTATTTTGTGAATCATGTTTTTTTTTTAAATTCTATCATGCGAAAAAAAATGGTTAGGAACTATTAAATTACTTAAAACCAAAAATATTGGCCATATTGAAACGTCATTTTTGCCATAGCAACAGCTGTTAGGAGTAAATTTTAAAAACTCTGAACTCCTTAGTTATTGTTTTATTCAAGTTAGATAGTCTTTGTTTTTCAACAAATAATTATTGTCCAAAAATTCATACCCAAATCAAAAAATCTCCCATTTTTTAAAAAGTGTAGGTAGCAACCTTAATTAAAGTACAGTTTTAATAGACGATTTCACATTTCAATTTTATTCATAGTATTTACAATTATGGTATTTAAGCAACTTTTTTACTGGCCTGGACAATTTTGTTTGGCCATGGGCTGTGCAAAATTTTTAAATAGGTTGTACAGAAGCGAATGCGCTTTATGGAAACATCAAGGTCTTTTCTTCCTAACAATGGGTGTAAATATTTTGTCAATTCACTAGATATATAACCAATATTGTTATACAAGTCCCCCGTCATGACGTACACTCCAATGGCATTTTTATCATGTTTATCTCAGGCTCTGCTTCTATTTTAACAAAGACGGGTCGATTGTATTCATACAATTAGTACTCGTACGCCTCTTCCAGGGAATTCTGTCTTGAAATATCATAAGCAAAACCTTAAATGGTAGGCAGTAAGGTTCACCAAGTTCATCTGTAGGATTGTCATCACTCCCGCTAGTTGTTGGTACATTTGCCGGTAAATATCTGGATAACTCCCAAAGGACCAAAAACGATTTGTTGTCAATTTCTATGGAACACGAGGACATGCAAGCATAATGGCCTAGCGTGATACTACGTGGCCCTTCGTCTTTAATTAGTCCTTCGTATTCCTTTCCTTCACAAATATATTTGACCTTTCTTAAGTTCACAGTAATCACTGGAAATGATGGGATTTTATAAGGAAATGGTATTGGATCAATCTGAATGATATCCACTTCCAGTCTTTCGTTTTCTAAAGCAAAAATGTGAGATTTAAAAATGTTAACTTTAAAATTAAATGCACAATGTTTCCTTTTGAATTTTAACAGAGAACTAAGAGAAGCAATGCAACTTGCGATCTAACATATCAATATGCACTAATTTGTTCCCTTACATAGTTAGAAATGATGATGCTTGAAAACAATGGACTTTGAAACTGGGATTTGTAATAAACTCATGGGCAGATTTACTGTGGAGGTTAGGGGGTTAATGCCCCCCCCCCTTACCCCCTAGAATCTCTCTAACCCCTCTTATAAAGTGTTCAACCCCACCAAAATTTTGCTTCACCACTCCTATTTTGTGTGACTTTAACCCTAATGCCCAACCCCTGCCGAAGCTCGCTCAGTGGTGCCGCTTACACCCTACTAAATTTTCCACCCCTCCTTCTAAAAAATGAATCCGCCCTTGAATAAACTACATTGTATATCTATACTATTTTTCGTATACATTTCATATATACCATTTGTTTCATTGTCCGTTTCTTCTGAAGCCGACTGGTCCTCATTTGTGGTATTCTGGTTGTCATTCTTAATAAACACCTAAATTTTTAATGAGTTCATTTAATCATAATATTATAGAGCAAAGTTTTTAGAAGCTGTAAGGTTTCTAGTAATTCATATGTGTGCTAATGGTTTGTTGGAATATGAAAGTGAGGATTAACTGTCCCTTTACATTTGTTTTGGTTTTCTGGAATGACCCAATTCATTTGTTTGGGTTCTCTGAAAATTACAAAAACACATGCATTTTTTTCCATTCCTAAATTTTCCTGGATGGAAATTTTATTAATAAAATGAAAATCACCTTCACTTTCACACCACTTTTTGGATCCAGATTACCCGAGGCAAGGTTGATGGAAGTTGTGTCATCGAGTATTCTGATGTAAGTTAGGATTTTTGATTTGTACATGTAGAAATTGATCAATATAATTTTTACATGAAATTACATAGGCATTGACAACTTTTTATTCAAGGATACATTCCACAAAAATGTTGAAGCTTGCAATTGTTTGTAACAGATTTGTTCCACTCATTCAGAGGAACACATTTCATACTGCCAATGCTAAAGACTGTCTGATGGTTAAAAACAGCCAAGGCATTGTTGAAATGCTCTTCATAATCATCTGGTGCCCCCTTTTTTGCCAATTCTTCAAGCAAATTATTACCACAAACCAATGCATATGCCCTGTGGGTTCCAATTCCTTTAACTTTTTCAACATAATCGCACCCAGCTGCAACACACAATTTTTGAAATTGTTGAAAACTTAATTTCAAACCTTCCAAAATTTCATTTGGGTTGTGGGATCTGGTGTTGTGCAACTAACTATAGTGAAACCAATAGGTGAGTAAATCAGAGTCCTCTGTGATAACAAAATCTGCATGACCATGTTTTACAAGAGATGCTATCTGAGCATCAGATTCATGGCATCAACTATTTCGCTGACCTCAGAATGACATTTCGTCAAAACTTTTTTCTTCAAGATTGGTTTAGAAGCAAATTTGGAGTAGGGTTAGATTAGGGTTAGGGTAAGGATTAGGGTTATGGTTAGAGTTGGTGTTTGGAGTAGGGTTAGTGTTAGTAAAACCGTTGCTTTGTTACGTTTTGTCACTTTGAGGCCAGCGAAATAATCTCTTCCCAGATTCATATGGAGATACAATGTAACGAATATTCTTCTTGACACATACCTAATAATACACAAACATGGCCTTGAGTTCTTATATATCCGTCTAGTAAACAATTAGATCATACGAGTATGGAATATTACAGACATATAGTTACTTCAATCATTCAATGCATGTTGAAATATCCTCAAATGAAATGGAAATTCCTTGGCTAAGTAATTTGTTCTGCTCTTCCAGATTGCCTGCTTTGTTTGCTTTTCTCAATGCATCGTCTTTCGTTTTACAGTTGCATGGTGAAAATATATTTAGCCGTTTATAGGTTTACTGCAAGTATGTAATTGAGATGCTTAATTGATATACCTAGCCATTTGATTTTAACTTACCTTTGCCTTTTGGCTGCTTCGTTTGCCTTGGCAGGCAGGGGCGATCCATCAAAGACAACAAATGAAATAACTCCAACGCTTCTTCCCAACGTTAAATGTTTTTGAAAAATACTGCCTAATCTGAAAGTAAATAACATGAATATTCATGACTAAATGACGAAAAATATTTGCAGCGCAAAAATCTTACTGACTATAATATAGATATTTTACAAACGAAGTCACTTGCCTTTCTCGATTTCCATCTACAGACACAGAAATTGCTAGCGCTCGATGAATCCAGCATGAAGCGTCGATAGCTGCTGTTTTCCAAGCGAAATCCGCAAGATTTACGTCTTTACAATATGCTTTTAGAAAGGGAAACAAATTTTGATGCCCATTTGCTTTATTTGCATATGTTCACCCAACCACGACTAGTCGCACAATGAAAATTTTTTCATTTTACCCGTCGTGCTTTGCGGTCG